ATACAAAAAGATTATACAATCTCAAATCCAAACACTTTTTGTATCTAGATCTATTTAGATGTATTCACAGAAAAATGAATGACTTATGTATTGCTGAATGAAATATGAAATCTTTTTATAATACACTCATATTCATATGTTTATAATAGTATTTTTTCCGTCTGTAATAACATGTATTCGAATATACAATACGAGTGTACCCTGGTTTATGTATTAACACAATAACTAACTATATCCAGAATCTATTCACGAAAAAATCAAAAATGTATTATTGCAAAATATCGCCGAAATCTATGACACATCGTTGTAGCACTAATACAAGTCAGAATGTGAACTAAGTCCTACGTGGAGCATTTCTACACGTTCGCTTATTATGTCCTCCCTGCCCACATATGCTACATGAATGTTGATTTTTTTGCTGCAGCAATTCACTGAACGGCTTATCTCGCTTCTTCTTTGGCCTTTCAGGAGGTCTTTTCCATTTGGGTGGTAATACAACTTCCTCTGAAATATGTGCTGGAATATTCCATTCATTTAGGTCCAGCAGCGGATACACTGGCACCTCGTATGTCATTACAACAGATTTTGGTTTGTAATATTCAGAGCAATAATCTTCTGGCATTAGAAACTTGCTCTTCAATACAGCCCAAGTGTGTGGGCATGGTGATTCGTCAACTTGGAACCTCCCACAAACGCATTTTCTCTCTAACAGGCACACGGTGTAATGCCTCCCTTCATCATTCATCGTATGCAAGTATTCAGTCGATGATACCACTTACATTTAAACATAGATCTATAAGTTTTGAACACATACAAACCAAAAAATTCATTTATATACCAAAGAATAGACGCATTAAATATACAGCAGGTTGAATTAAATCAAATATGTATTGAATACAAATATATTTCTATATATAGAATGCAGAAATATGCAGTTGAATACAATGGAATTGTTTGAATACAGCAGAATACATCGTATATGTAGACTGGCATGATATTAAAGATAATGACTTCTTACCTTATGAACACATTTATATACATTAAATATCTTCTTATGAAATGCATATGGGTAGAAACAAAAATATTAAATTCAACTAATGATACACTGAACATATGTATTGTAATCCAAAAAGTATAAATTGTGTCAGAAAAAAGTAAACCTTGTACAAGGGCTTAATATATGAAATGCATATGGATAAAAATAAAGTTTACCGTCATGCGTGTAGACATTGCCTCATTCAAAGTAAGCATCTCCTGGTATTTTTTTCCAAGCGTTGTGTATGTCTGTGTAGCTTCTTTCCGGTTGCTGCAATTCCAACGTCCAACATCTTCCTAACTTCTTCGAGGAAGTCGTATATTGAAAATTCCCTTGCTGACACTAGTGCGGCATTGATTGACACAGCAATATTTGACGTCATGGTCCATCCCCTGTTAACAGGTGCATACAACCTAGCCCACTTTTCGTATATTCTTTCACCCTAATATCTACCTTCTCCATTAGACTGTCAAATTCATCCTGTGTGTACGCTTTTGCCATTAAGAAGTATACCTCGCTCAACTTTGCATGGCTCTTTTTGAATTTCTTATATTCGTTATTCCATAGATGCCATATACAAGCAAAATGTGGTACATCTGAATACACTCTCGATACAGATTTAATGATACTCTCATTTCTATCTGAAATAATGCACATGTTTTCCCTCTCACCATATGCTTTCTTGAATTGCTCGAAGAACCACGACCAAGCAGCATCGTTCTCTAAATCAATAACACCATATGCTAGTGGAAATACATGACCTATAAAGATAATTGCATATATATTTTTAAAATATGTATTTCATTCTTTAAAATGGAACACATTTTATATGGCATAGTTATTAATATTAACAAAATTTATTATAATTCGCATACTCACCTGCACTATCCAACGTGCTGACCGAGACGAATGTCCCGGTGTAATAAGATTTTAGGTGACTTCCATCCACAACCACAATAGGTCTACAATGATCGAACCCCTTTATAAAGGCATGCAAAGATATATACACATACATGAACTCATTTTTTGGCGATTTTACCATTCTAATGTGCGAACCAGGATATGTCATATCTATTGTATATAAGTATCCTGGTAATTTTTTGTATGAATCAGCTGGTTCACCTCTCAAAAAATTCTTTGCCTTTTCTTTAGCCTGCCACGCCAACATGTAGCTAACATCCACACCTAAATATGTTTTCACATCATTAATTATATCCTTTGAGGTGTATTACCTCTTATGATTTGTAAGCTTGGGCCTAATCATACCACTTATAAGGCTGCTACTTGCCTGGCGTTGCTCATACACCTTGTCTTTCAATGGACATGTATGCTTATCATTGAACTCTCTCACTTTGAATAGTTTTGATTTGTTAATGCTAGAAGCCTTAAACCTCCATTCACAATCTTCTGACATACATAATAATGCATAGCTGCAAAGAATTTAATTATACATATGATAAGTATAAATGCTTAAAAAATACACTCCTATACATTTGAATACATTATTACATCTATATATATAAATTATTATACAACACTAATATATATACAATGGTATACATTTAAATATGTCTGAATACGCCTATAGTTATATGCATACATTCAAATACAACTAATACACCAAAAAAATAGTGAGAGCCACTGTAACAAGTTTTTACCAGTCAAATACACAAGAATACATGTATTTGAAATACATAAAAAATACAGAATCACAACAGTGAAGGTCAAGTGAAAATTCCCAAATACACCTATATACATCTATATACCAGTTACAACTCCTACCATGAATACAATATACAAAAAAATAATGAATAATTAAGAATACTAGCATTAGACCTATCAACCCGGAATTGAAACCTTTGAAATATAGCATAATGCTCCATCACCTCTTTCAATGTAGCCTTATCCTTATATACTTGTTTAGCCATAACCTCCCTTTGATTAGTTTTTAAAATTATCAAATCCTTGTCCAATTCGAATACCCCAATTGGTTCTCCTGAATTGACAACATCAAGAGCAAGTGTATCATCTGTATCAAAATTATACCTTTGAACTGCTTCGTCTATTTGCACAATGTCACCTTGAATTAAACTACCTCCGGATACAACTTCTTCGTCAATCGTTGTTATGCACAAAGGATACATCCCGAATTCTCTGTTCTCTTTTTCCAACTCTACATACACCTTGTAACCCATATCATTGTGTATTTCTATTGGCGTGTAATTTCCTTCTACTTTGTATTGAATTTTAATAGACTTTGAGCTCAAATTTGTGTCCAGTTGATTAGAAATTGACGCAACCAAATCATTATACGACGTATACTCCTTTATCGGTATTCCCTCAATTGAATAATCGACGTAGTTACTCTTACTATTCCACTTGCCAGAATGATGCAATAACACTGTTAGACTTGCCATATGTATAATCGAATTATACCTTAATTCTGTATACAATTGTATCAATCACGATTTTTCGTGGTTGAAAACAGAACTGGGTACGCACTGGAACAACAGAAAAAAGGGAGAATTGAAAATCCAGAGGTTGCTCTGCTTTTTGCTATTTTTCGGATTGAAAATCTTTCGTGAAAGGAGGAATACAGATTATGGGCGATATATTATGTTAGTTGAGTTATATTAGGAGACTATTTGGTAAATTGATTTCCTTTCCGTTTTAAACAGTTGAAAGGTCCATATTTTACGCAATATATGTTACTGTATTCACGAATACAGCTCGTGAATACAGTTGAATACAACAACTGATTAGCTGGACTTCCCTGATTCACGTCTATTTTTACTACTGTATTCATGAATACAGTAGCTTAAATACATCAAATGCATCTTATAACAACAGAAAACGTATCTACAATCCGTAATATAGCAAATGGTATCTATAGATAGCTAATTACCATTAAAAGATAGTGCTTTATAAAAAATTCTCTTGATAAAAACCAGGGACATAAGCCATTTAGCACATTGTTAAACGTACTGAGCCTAGTGTAACGTAATGGTCTAAGAAGCTGGAAGCACATATTCCCAAGAGGCAAAATCAGAATTTAAACTATTTAAGTTTTAAGTTTTAGGATAGCGACATTAAGTATTAGTAATTGAATTCCAAATTAAATTTGTGTACATATTCAATGAATATTAAATACTCCACAAAGTTTGTACTAAAACTATTGGGTTCGACAAAACATGAACCTCACCTTGTGATTCTGCCCTGCATATATGGCATCTGTGTTTCTGTGAGTTTTAAGGGTAACAGCATCGAGGTTTACATCCATCAAGATTTCAGTTACTCCAAATGCTAAAGGGAAACAATGAGGAAATTAAGAGAAATATGTACTAATTTCTTCAGCCCAACGAGAAAAGTGAGATTCTATTATGTTTACTGTTGAAGTAGTGACTATCGTCATGTTTTATGGTCAACTACCCCCCACTAAAATCACCTTTCAGTAACTAAATAGCTACTTTTTCACAAAGCGATTAATAAGTCAATATACATTCTTTCCCAGTATCAACATTTTGCTTCAACATTATCTTCTGCTTCTTCCCAAACTCCTCCTATCATTAAAGAAACCAGCTTTTCAATGATTTGCAGCATAGCCTTTTCTATCTTTTCCTCAAATTTGCTGTACTCGATTCAATCACTCAGTGGTGACTCTTTCCAGGTGAAGTGGTCTTATCGCCAGTAACTAAAGACCTACTACTAATCATCTTTTTGTGCGCTTATTCTATGTCCAATTCAATAGGAGGATTATATGCATGCTGAAGTCTTGCATAGGCTTTTGTCAACACACGAGGAACAGCAATAAGGAAATGACAGAAAAATCTTATACATATAACAGAGTAAATAAGCAAATTAACAAACGATATATTCAACGAAAAGAACCCATGTGTTCTGCAGAATAACGCTAGAGACCTATCAATGCAAGAAAGTACTAGTTTGTGAGAAAACAAATTATATCTAAGTTGCAAAAGAATATGACAATTAACAAGGAACATAAATGTTCTCTGAAGAAATGAATACAGCAATCAATGTGGAACTATTGAAATAAAAAATACACAAATGGTAGGCAATTTTGAAGAGAAGCTAGATATGATACCAACAAGTAATCAACACAACTACAATATGGAGATCTCTCAAGGAACAAAACATACAGATATTTGCTGATTCAGTTAACATCTTTCAGTCTTTTTATCAATGCATCAAGAGATTTCTTCTTAGTGTTCGTCTTAGATCCCCTTGTGCCAAAAGACCCAAAAAGCCTATCAGATTGATCCCTTAACTTCTCCGAAATAGTCACAACTTTGCGGTAGTCCAAAGCATTATAACTTCTCTCTCTAATAACTGGATTCAGGAAATTTTCTGGATGGTTGCTCAAGAGTAGATTAACCAACTGCCTAGACTCAGCCAATGCTGCTTTCAACTGGCTAGCCTCTGCCTCAGATAAGAGAGTAGCTTGGGATTCAGCAAATGATTCCAACATTTTGACATCAGCTTCAAGACCCATAATAGCATTTATGTTGAACCTTTTAACCGACTCCCCTAGTAAAGCCCCGACAATCATCTCTGATATATGAAATAGAACATCTTGTAAAACTCTTTTCAGAACTTGAACAGGCAAGATCTGCTGGGCAGTAGAAACTAGAGTTTCAAGAAATATGGTCACCTCATGCACATACTCATTTCCACCCTGCGGAGGATCATCCACCATCCAGTTCACATTCTCAATCAGCAAAAGGAACCCGTCAACCTTTTGCTTAAGCAGACCAGAAAGCATCTCTTCAGCAGCATCACGGGCTTTAGTCAAAGGAAACAGTCTCCTCCCCCTCTCTGCCATTCTCAATGGAATCCCTGAAAGCTGTGCAGCATGACGAAAGAAAAAGTCACATGCACGTTCAAACACAGCCATATTAGCTGCCATCTGCATTGCTTGGGTGACGCCACCAATAGACGTATTAATGAGCTTCAACAAGGCTCCATCCAGGACCTCAGTCAAAAGCCGATCCAAGTATTTCTTCACCACATCATAGAAATCAAGCTGACCACCATATGACATGAAACTCACCGAGTCCTCAATAAACGACCGTACAATTCTACAGCAATCAGGCACAGTACATGAAAATGGTGCAACATAAGGAAACGCAGGCATAATATTCGACGTCTGTAACTGAAATGACAGCACATTCATGTTATACTCGTATTCCTTTTTCATATACATTTGCTCAAATTTATCTGCAGCAAGGGCCTCAGTTATCTGCTTTCGACAATCAGATAAAAGAAGTTCATGATACTTATCCCTGTGCTTGCTCAACACATCTAGCAAAGCCTCAACAGGGTATCCATATCTACGCAATGTAACTCCAAGCAAACTCACATAGTCTTTAATCAATAATAAATGATTCGCAGTTTGCATTCTAGAAAACTGATCTTCCAAAACAGAACACATTTTACTCATAGCAGTATCCCATAAATTCTCCACCTCCAATTTCGAAACCAACCCACCACCGGTCCTCAAAACTCTATCTTCCACAATGAAAAATCCAGCAATTTGCGCGAAAAAAGTCTGGTGAGATTCAAGAAAGGGCGTCATTGAAGATACCTGAAAATCTGAAGTCAACTGAAGCTTGCGATTCTCGAAATAGTACTGCTTGAATCTATCTTCAAGTCCTAGAGTTTGGTTTATGTGATAAGCCCTATACAACAGCGTCAAATCAAAACCTAATATTCCATTACCATCGTTTGCCTCAGCACTGATTCCGTTAAATCCGTCATCGTCTTCTTCTTCCAAAGCATAAACACAATCCCTAAGACTGAGTCTACTCTGTTCCTCAGCTTGTCGTTGCTTCATTCTGAGCTCTTCTTCTCTCTGCCTCGACGCCGAGGCTTGTCCTATAGCTAATTGCCCTAAGTTCCGGCTAACCACACGGATCTCGACAAGCCAATCGCCGAACTCTTTGTTGATTTTCCGTTCGATATGCGAACGGATCGCAGGGATCTGCTTCTCAAGCATTCGTTTGAGAGTAGAAGACGGTGTTTTGTTCATAAACTCTCTCTCAATCGAGTCCACACACTTCAACGCCATGTAGAAATTGTTCTCTGAGAGGTGACGATTGGCGCGTGAGCAAAGCTCGACTAACTGTACGCACGTGCGGAGGGATAGGATAGCGAGAGTTATGTTTGTGCATTTGTTTCGAGCTTCGACGAAGGAATCGAGCGTCGTTAGCAAAGGCACGGCGACGGACTGGAGTTGAGAGTTGGAGTTGGAGAGTGAAGATTTGAGAGAATCGACGTCGGAGAGAAGAGATCGGAGATCGTCGACGGCGGTGATGAAGTCTTCGTAGTGTGCTCTACAGACATCCTCGATTTCGGATTCCTTGGATCGAGCGAAGTGGCGGAGGTGGTGAAGGAGGGTTTCAGGCTTGCCGGAAGCAAACGCCTTTCGAACGAAGGGCCCGACGTCTTCACCGTTGCAGATGGAGGCGGAGAGGAGGAGCTGGTCAAGTTTGTCGGCTGAATCGCCGTTATCTACCGCCGCCGGAACAACTTTCCGGCGCATCTTCGACGTGTTCATCGCCAGCTGTGTTCCTCCGTTATCTATTTCGGTCACAGTAATAGTGGTAACTGCTAGAGTGACGGAGCCGTTACAGACGGAGAGGATTTATAATTAGGACAGAGAAAATGAATACGGGAGAAAATTATGGACACGAAGATATAGTTGGGACATTGAAATGAGAAAGTAATGATAAATGGTCTTTATTTGACTATTTAACCCCCTTGGTTTTAGCCTGATGCTTCCATTGGCAAGTCCAGAATATAGGGGTATGATAGTAACTATGATTGAAAGGGCCAGCCTTGTGTAATAATTAGAGGCAAGTACAAGTATTTGGTGATTTATGGAGTACTAATTATTTGAGCAAATGACATCATTTACCTTCTAGTTTAACTACGGTAATTACACAAAGTGAATACAACTAAAATCAAATGATTCCTTTTGACAAACATGTTTGTTCATGTGGAATAAAAACAAATAAAAAGTTGAAAATCCAAAAAAGGAAAGGAAAAAAAAAGAGTCAGAACTTTTCAAAGTTTTATGTTACGGACTTAAGTCTAGTGTATTATTTTGTAGTAGTTGAAATATTAACTTAGTACTAAAGTATTTCCTTTAAGAGCAGTAGCGCAATAGACAGGAGCTTGTTATCTTTTGTACTACTACTAGTAGTGATGCCATTTATGATTTAACCGATAAATAATATTTATATTCATATTATTCGTCACTTACTAATAAAGTCATTTTTAGCTTTTTCTTCAACGGCATACTAAAGTACATAATTTAAGCTCATCACATGATAAGCTAGTCAAATAATATATACTGCACTTAATAGACATAGAGCTAAAGAAAATAAATCAATTTCAGTACTCTTGCATTTGTTTTCTTGTTCATCAGCTCGAATTGATAGGCTACAAAGAGTAACGGCAATTTTTTCCTTAAGCAAACATAGTTCACTTCATTGTACAGTTTGAAATATGATTAATCTTGATTTATCAATAAAGTATATGTCAGATTCTTTAACATGTTCAAATATAGAATAGTAATGTCAGTAATTACCAAAAACCAAAAAGAAAGTGAATAATTTAATCTCAGAAGTTAAAATGAAGGTAATATTACAAAAAAAAAAAAAAAAAAAAAAAAAGAAGATAACTCAATATAATAGTCATAGGAATAACTGAAAGCTCCTCGAACACCTAGTGTGCATTTTCAAGCACAATACTTAATTCTCAACCTACCATCCTTCCCCCAATATAAATAATTTAAGAAACTAAAAAGAATGGCAGTCTTTAAACACTAAAAAAATGAAAAAGGAATTTAAGAGTATCTACTACTAGAATTCAGGTATAACGTGTTCAAGTTGTGTATAAGATTGAGATATAAGTTAGTATTCCCTATTTAAAATCAGAAATGTTAGACGACGACGGTCAAAAGAAAAGTTAGTCTGTAAATAAAACAAAAGGTTAAATTTTATCTATTAAATAAAATCAAATTATAGAAATTAGTGAAAGTTGTGTAGAATACTATTTTAGTAGTTGTTGTTTTGGAGAGCAACTTTGAGAGGAGAAAAAGTAATACTACGAGTACACCAAAAAAGTCAATACGCGTACTTGGTCTTCACAATTTCTAGAATCTCTTACTTTGTCTATGGCAAAGTGCCTCACATCTAACATGGGAAAAATTCTTTTCATAAATACAATGTTAAATAAACTCCTCCTGACATAGATAAATTTAAACTTAATACTGACAGATCTTGTCTAAGCAACCCTAGGGTTGGGGGGATTGGAGGTTGAATCGGAAATAAGAATGGAGATGGGATCATTGGTTTTATGGGAGGAATTTCTTACTCCACTAACATTATGTCTGAACTAACAGCTTTTTGTTATATCTCACATTTTCGTACGTTAAAGTTTCATTTTCAGTTAATCGGCGTAGACTCGGGGATGAGATTATCTTGAGGTTAACGTACTTATGCTATTTATAACAAGCGATAAGTAAGTGCCATGAAGAATAAAGGGTACACGAATTAAAGAAAATGAGTTTCGTTGAAGGTTGTCAATTTGGGATAAAATACGGTCCGAGCTATAATACCCGATATTTATGGACTAAGTACCATACAAGGTACCATATGACCATGATAGTATATTGTATAAAGTATATTAAAAATGAGTAGTATTTTAAGTAATTTGAGACAATTCTTAATTATTTGGATAATTGATTAATTATCGGGTAACGGAATATTACCTAATTAACTTGTGAGTTTAGGATAAGATTAAAACTCCACCCCACCCCCACATGACAGCAAGCCACTAACAAAACAAATGACTCTTAATCATATTAGATTAGGTAGCAACTAATTCCAAGATAAGCCATCTAATTAGAAAAAGCTACAAATCTTTTAATAATCAAAAGATACTTATCTTCCAACATAAGGAATTATTGAATTCTAGAAGGTTACATATCTTTGAATATGAACAATTCAAAGACACACATCTTTGAACGATTAAGAACTCTTAGTGTTGGCAATCTGAAGCTAACAGAGAAGACAACCGGCAGTTAACATAGAAAGGTACGGATCCACAATAAATCAAACAGAGATTTTGCAATTTTAAGGGAGTACGGTGTAATCCTTCGCAAGAATATCATATGAATTTTTTCTTACTCCAGGTATGTTAAGGCTATCCCTTCTTTCTTTTTGGCATGATCCAATGATACAAAAAGAAACGAGCAAACGTACAGCTTTCATAAACGACTCTATTCATAGAAATAGTAGGGGTCTCTATGTTCTTGATTCCCCATGTGACATATTATTATATCTTTTGTTCATCGGTCTCGGAATAATACGCAGTTGATAAGGTTTATCCGAAAGGAATATTGAGATTACTAACATATTTTCATGCATTTCATTTATTTATATATGTACATTGACCCATGAACAGATGGCGTGTTATATATATATATATATATATATATATATATATATATATATGTGTGTGTGTGTGTGTGTGTGTGTGTGTGTGTGTGTGTGTGTGTGTGTGACTCATAGTGATTTTTTATCAAAGAATGACTCTGGTTATCAAATGATTGAACAACCGGAAGCAATTTACTTACGATACTTAGTTGACATTCATAAAAAGCATCTAATGAATTATGAGTTCCTGCTTAGCAGAAAGACGAATATTCTTTGCTCATTATCAGACAGTCACTTATTCACAAACTTCGTGTGGGGAAAATATTTTTCATTTCCCATCTCATGGAAAACCCTTTTCAGCTCCGCTTAGCCTTATCCCCCTCTAGGGGTATTTTAGTGATAGGTTCTATAGGAACTGGACGATCCTATTTGGTCAAATACCTAGCGACAAACTCCTATGTTCCTTTCATTATGATATTTCTGAACAAGTTCCTGGATAACAAGCCTAAAGGCTTTCTTCTTGATGAGATCGATATTGATGACAGTGACGATATTGATAATAGTAGTGAGCACGTGATTTTTGCCCTATATATGAATAATTCCCAAAATTTCAAACAAAATAATTTTTCTAGTATTTTATAAATTTTTGTGAATTTTGTGGCATTCTTTGGTAATTGTTGCATTTTTATTTGTGCATTTTAATCCATATGAAAATATCAAAAATATGCATTGGCATTTAGGGATTTAATTTCACAATTTTAGTGTTCATTAGTTGTAGAATAAAATGTAAAGAAAATTGCAAGAAAATAGTTCTTTGCATTGCTAATTATTGCATTTGTCTTTAAATAGAGTTATAAGTAATTTTAGGAGTTAAATAGTGTAATTAGGTCTTTGCTTTGTTTTAGCATTTTATAAAATCAGAAAAATAAATAAATACAAAAATACAAAAAAAGGGGAAAAAGAAAATTAAAAAAAAATGGCCAGATTTGGGCCAAAATCAGTCAGCCCAAATGAAATCCTCAATCCAGGCCGGTCCATACCCGTCCCCTGTAACCCGGTCCAGCAACCCCATTCAAAACGACACCGTCTGCCCGGGTGAATCTCATCCGTTGATCCTTCAAGATCCAACGGATGAGAACTAAGTCTCAAATCCCATAAAACCTGTCCGAAATTAACCCAAANTCCAATGTTTGATCTTGAAATTTCACACATAGCTTTCATCAGGTCATTGTTATGATTGGCGGTATTGTTAGTAATGATTGACTCAGGTATTCCAAATCGACAAACAGTGTAGTCCTGGACAAAATCTACTACGACCTTCTTAGTTATAACCTTATACGATGCGGCTTCAACCCATTTTGTGAAGTAATCTATAGCCACCAATATGAACCTATGCTCGTTTGAAGCAGCGGGTTCAATTGGTTTGATGACATCCATGCCCCAAGCAGAGAAAGGCCAAGGAGAACTTGTTGCATTGAGTTCGTTGAGCGGTACTCGTATCATACCAGCATGTATCTAACATTAGGGAGACTTTTGAACATAGATTTGGGCCAAAATCAGTCAGCCCAAATGAAATCCTCAATCCAGGCCGGTCCATACCCGTCCCCTGTAACCCGGTCCAGCAACCCCATTCAAAACGACACCGTTCTGCCCGGGTGAATCTCATCCGTTGATCCTTCAAGATCAAACGGATGAGAACTAAGTCTCAAATCCCATAAAACTGTCCGAAATTAACCCAAACCTAAAAACGTTCTTTCAATCTTCCTCGTACCTCCCCAGTAACGCCGGCGTTACTACCACCCTCCTCCGCCCTAGCCCCACCNAATTTCTTTGCATTGCTAATTATTGCATTTATCTTTAAATAGAGTTTTAAATAATAATTTTAGGAGTTAAATAGTGTAATTAGGTCTTTGCTTTGTTTTAGCATTTAATAAAATCAGAAAAATAAATAAATACAAAATACAAAAAAAATACAAAAGCAAAATAAATAAAAGAAAATAAAAAATGAAAATAAATTGAATAAAGAGGATTTTAAAAGGAGAAGGTGGTCTTATGCCCGAATTGGGCTAATTATTCTGGCCCAAAAGAAAATTCCCCAACCCACGTACCAAACCCCAGGCCCAATACCCCCATCCGGTCCAGTTTCCCCCCCTTTTTTGCAAAACGACGCCGTTTGGCGTCAATCAATCCTATCCGTCCATTTCCCATGATCCGACGGTCCAGGATCACCCAAGCCTTCTCAATATAAGTGTAATAAAACATGTTATAGATCAGAGA